ATTCAGGATGCTACTGATGATTTTGTGGAAAAGTTGGCTGAGAAAGCCGAAAGCTTGACAGGTGGTTCAATTGAACAACCATTTTTTATTTGTGCTGTATTATTTTACAAGTACATTTGTTGAGACTTGTATGTTTTGTCATTGCAATTTCTGAGGGGCAGGAGAGTACGTTTGCTGGCTTGAAAAATAAGAAGAAAAAGCCAGTACGTTTGCCGGGGGAGTCATGGAAGAGACAGAAACGGTGTCGTCTCGTATTGAAGGCGAGGTCAAGGAGGAAAGTGTGGCGATGGGCGGTTCGGAGAGTAAGCAAAGGAGCGAGCCCAATGGTAACACGATCCCAAAATTGTAGACCATCGAGTCATTGGATTAGAAGCGGCTTATGGCCGAAGATCCAAATTGTGAGTCATTTTGCTTTTCCCTCGTGCAATTTCTGTGTACAAATTCTTCAATTTTGATATTTATTTTGGCTTCTTCTCTCAGATGTATTTTTAGTGGACAAGTCGCCAGTGCAGTACTTCATGGAAGAGATGTCAATTGGCAATTCATTGAAAACGAATGCAGAGACAGATTTTGAAATATTTTTATTATTATTAACAAAGGTGGTGTCGATTAAGACCGTCACTAGTTTGCATATTTTATTTATTTAATTGTTATCTAATGTCGCTTTAAACCTGATGTAATGTTGAAGTATACGTCGCTTTAAACTGACATCAACATCAGTGTTGCTTTTAACTGACGCTAATTAGTGGCGGATTAAGCGAACAAACCGACACTGAAGCCCTTTAGTGACGCTAGCAATGGTGTTGTTATTCCAATTCAACATTACATTGTTTTATGTTGGATTTTTGCCAAATTTCCGACAGAAATCGGATTTCTTGTCCATTTTTGGTCCGCTGGTGATAGCCTATATTGTAGTAGTGTAGGCATGTCCATGATTAAACCCATCTGATTTCACTAAATTCCGTTGAGTTTTGATTGATAAAAATCATGTCCAAAGTTGAGTCACAGAGCTGCCAAATAGCAGCAAGTTCTGCATCTTCAGTTTTGGGTATCCATTTTATATTTGGTATAAGTTTCAATCTAGAGCTCTGTTTCCTACAAATCTACAATGGATTTAGTGTACTCAACACATGTGAATCATTAGATTTTACAGTGCAACATAATATCCATAACCAAGTTAAATTAGCTCTCACCTACCTCTTTCCAATCCCTAAACTTTAACCTTTGTTTGGTTCCCGGGAAAATGCAACAAAGAGCAAAATGAAACCCATAATTTTGAATCCAAACCTTGATAAATTGGGTCATGTAAAAGCAACACAAAGACTCTGACTTCAACATGCACAACGGACCTACTGCCTCAAATTTCAAAACCCAGAACCCAAAATAACGGCAACAACATTCAAATTTTCCCTTTTGCTTTCTTTCTCCAATTTTCTCGGGAACCAAACAAAAAGTTTTGATCCCAAATTGCTCACTACCACAAGCTCGCACAACAGATCTACTTGCAACTTAAACACTTACACAGAATCAACAAACAACTAAATAACTTAAAAAAATCAGTAATTTACTAAACTTGCATAACAGACAAAACGAAACTCACAGAAAATTTTCAGAAGCTGCAAAAACAGATCGAACCTAGAACGGAGATGCAGAGCTCAAGATGCTACACGGAAGAGGATGAGGAGGAAGGTTGCGAATGAGAGATGCAGAGCTGCTACACGGAAAAGGATGAGGAGGAAGGTTGTGAATGGGAGGTACAGAGCTGAAGAGGCTACACGGAAGAAGATGGCGATGAAGGTTATGAAGGGGAAATGCAGAGGTGAAGAGGTTCAGCGGCTGAGAAGAAGATAGATAGTTTTAGGGTTTGTCGTATGATTTTGATGATGTAAATTTTGAAAAAGGCAAGGGGCATTTTTGTCTTAAAATGTTATAAATTTGTGTCCCACGGACGTGGAACAAGTCACTCCAGGGGGGATGCGGAATGAAAAATCATCCAAAACTTGTCCCGTGGAACATCGCGTTCCACTCATTTTAGGTGCACCAAACGTGGGACGGAACGTCTCGTCCCACTATGTTCCGTCCCATCCCACGTACCAAACGTGACCCTGAGTATTTGAGCTGTCCTTATTAAACATTAAGCCTTGATTTTTCATATCCACATGCAATAAAAATAGATAACACAAGGCTGATATCAAAGGAATTGGAAGGCATTTTTGTCATTTCACTGTTAATGAACAGTTGTATTTCTCACATGTTGAACAGTGCTTTTCTTATGAGTCTTAGTAGATAGTAATATTACATGTGTTTTTAGAAGTTACGGTTGGAGAGTAATCTAATAGTAGATAATATTTAACAAATAAAATGCATCATATGTGTGTGATATATATTAATAGGATAATGCTAGGAAGATTAAATTTTTAAAACAAATTTGCAAATCAAATTATACGTCACCAATAAAAAATAGAGAAATTGCAAAAATCAACTCATTTTCTTAATTCTAAGACTGAAATAGAACAAACCGATCATGAACAAGCATTGTACGCACCATGCACAACAATATGATAGAAATATGATTTTTTTAACAACTTAAAATGACCTAATTACCCTTCATATAAGTGAGTTAATTTCTCATTTTCTGATCTCCCTCTCTACTATTTCTCTCTCCATGCACCTCCCACACGCTCTTCTTCCCAAACCTCTTTCTTCTCCCTTCGCATTAATTTCCTTCACCAAACACTAACCCTAACTTTAACCCTAACCCCCCTTTCACTCTCCTTGTATCTCTCTAATCTCATCAAAATCCTTTCCACCCTAAAAAGATTTCAATTCCACACCCTTACATGGATATGCAGCCAAACAACCTCTTTGACATACGTCGCAACCCGACACCGCTAACGACGCATACACCTTCCTCGAATTCAACACCCAGGGCGAGGACTTTGACTACCCGAAGTTCCGCGACCCAATTCACTCTCCTGTTGCCTGGCCCACCCCTTCAGATTCCTTATCGGAACCTGCAAACCGGGAGTGGCAGTGGAGGGGTCTGGTCGGACCGCCAGTCCAGTGCGTCCGCAGTTCCATGCGTGCCGGTACTGCAGCGTGTCGAACCCGGCTTTCAACGCCAAGACTTGTAAAATATTATATTTCTTTGTGTGTTTACTAAAAATTGGCACAAAATGGTGTTTTTTTTGATGAATTTTCAAGATACGTTCATTGTATGTACACGACATGCACATGATATGCTCACATATCAGAATTCAACCCAAACATCCTGAGCTCATAGCTCTCTCTTCTAAATCAGAAAAATGATGTCATCACTTGTGAGTTTGTACAATTTATATGTCGGTATTTTCGTCATTTCAGTTTTGTGCATGATGTACATAACTTGTGCATGACTGGTTTGTCTTATTTTAGTTCTAAGATTAAGAAAATGTGTTATTTTTGGCAATTTTTCTAAAAGATAAGAACATAATCAACACTTACATAATAATCCAATCATTAACAAATGATTTTGTGTGTAGTGGTACAAGTTGTTCTTCACCATGAGTTTTTGGGATTCCAACCGGAAAGAAGATATTTCTGAAGGTAATTTTATTTATATGAGGATGAAGTGATTGGTCGCAGAAAAATCTTGTCAGCCGGACCACCTTCGTCGAAAAATCTCGTCAGTAGGTCACCTTCATCGGAAAATATCGCCGCAAGGATCAGTTGCGTAAACATTTAACTCTTTTCCCATTCCAATACGAAGGATTCGTCATTGAAATAATAAATAGCAAATGGGTCAGCTTGAAAATAAATAAATTGTTAGTTGTAGAATATTACTCTCATCAGACTTAACCTCAACTAAAATAACAAGGGTTCGGATAATTTAGACCGCTCCAACTTATTGGCAGATCATCGTCGCAGGAAAATCTTGTAGACCGTTCGTCGCAAAAGGTAGTAGGATTAAATGGTAATTATGTAATTGTTCTGAATTGTAAATTTTTTTTAATTAAATGATTTTGTTGACTTTTTATTTGCTACCTAAACTAAAAATGTTGTATTTTTTCTTCACTTTTCTTTAAAAATAGTATTTAAATTACTAAAATGATTATAAAAAATTTATACGATAAACAAACACTATTCGGAAAGGTGATATAAGTGCATTCCTCTTTTAATCGGAAGATGCAATATATATATATATATATATATATATATATATATATATATTTACACACATACATCCTTGGCAAAAACAAATACAACAATTAAAGAGTGGTGTAACCATCATTGTTCTAAAAATTTATGTCTAGCCTTGTCTAGGTTCTATGTAGACGCTAGGCATCTGGTCATCGCCCCGATTAATTTTTAAGCATTTAAAATTAAGAAATGATGCCTAAACCTATATAGATACCCCCTAGGTCACAATTCCCACTTAGATAGAAAATAGATAAATTCCATTTTGCATTTTATTTTTTCAATAAATTGTAAGAGACTTGTTAAATACTTGGATAAACAACCATTTTTTATTTGTTTCCCATGACTTCAATATGTTGTAATATTTCATAAACTATGTTATTCTATTTTACGATTTATATATTTTAATACAATTATGTATTCTTTTTAGCATAGTAGACATTTGTTTATATGACATATAATAAATTTAATTAAACTTAAAAATACTATCTAGGCCCAACCTAAGCGCTAACCTCCTACCTGCCACTCAACTAGTGTCTACTGTCTTTTAAAACCTTATTATCCATACACTCATTTTTAGCTTCCGCACACTCCTTGATACTTTTGGTCCTTTGATCTTATTCAAATCATATGATTTGATGACTGAAAATTGAGAGGAGTGTGCAGGAGGTTATAATAAGTGTACGAATAGAACTGCCTAATTAAATTCAAACTAAGCAAAATATAACCATGCAGAAAAATATAATGGGAGAAGGGAATTATTATTATTTTTTATTATTGATACACCATGGGGTATTACATTTAACATGATCCTGGTGTTGTACTTAGAAGATAGTTACATCCGGCGGAGGTTCCTCATAATCAGCATCGGATAAAGCGGGCGGTGTAGGTTCGGATAAAACGGGCGGCGTAGGTTCGGATAAAACGGGCGGCGTAGGTTCGGATAAAACGGGCGGTGTAGGTTCGGATAAAACGGGCGGTGTAGGTTCGGATAAAGCGGGCGGCATAGGTTCGGATAAAGCGGGCGGTATAGGTTCAACTTCTGGTGGCAGGATGGGCGGCGGCACGATAGGCGGCGGCATAGGTTCTTGAACAGCTGAATTTGTTTCTGCTGTGTTCAACAATCTTGCTTCAGCTGCAATGATTCCATAAGAGAGAATCAATGCAAGAAGAAACACATGTGCACACAGAAGCTTGGATCTTTTGGATACCAGCGCCATGAGAGAGAGAGAGAGAGAGAGAGAGAGAGAGAGAGAGAGAGAGGGAGGGAGAGGGAGAGGGAGAGGTGTGCTTTCAACTGAATGTCATGAAGGGTATATATAGGATAGACGAGCAACATTTACTGCTCTCACACAACGTTATATGCATGGATGGATAAAACTCACGAGGAAGAGCAACTCAGAACTGCCACTGCATGGATGGATAAGGTAAGAATTGCTTGGTTCCGGAAAAAAGGCTGAAGAACTGTCAGAATTTCAGGTTTGGCAAAGCAGTTACATGCCTCTTTGTTTTTTTTTTTTTTTTGGTTTGTTTGATAAACGATATTATCTACCCTAAGATATGAGTAATGAGCTAAATTTCATAATTGACTAGTAATAATATGGTTTAAATTTGCTTTGGTGAGAATTTAACCTAAAACTCTCACTTACAAATTAAAAGAATTACCACTTGGTTCTAAATGACTTATTTTCATTTAAATTAAACATTTTTCTTGCCTCGTGCGATTATACGTTATTTTCCGTTCATGGCATAAATTTCACTAGTAGTCCGAAGCAAAAGATTCTGTCTGATTGACTAGTAGTCCTAAATTTACATGAATCACATACTGAATCATATATCTAATTAATAAAAGTGAAACTCATGGATATACATAAGTCTCAGTTTAATAAATCAATATGTGGTTTAGAATGTGCATGGTCTCAGAAAATGATTCAAATAGCTTTCTTTTTGGCACATTGTGCACTGGGCAGAGGCCGAAGGCCTTTCAATTCGAAAACCACGGGTTGAACCAAATAGGGAATTGAGCTAAGTTATATAATGGTGCTATTAAGATTTCATAGTAGATTTAGGGTTGGTTTAAGATTGTGGTGCTTTAAAAAAAAAATTTATTGAAAAAATCTAAAACATTAAATGTGTTTGGTAAAACAAAAAAAAATGTTTTTTTTAAAAAAAAACTGTAGTCAATGAAAGTAGAAAAGCAGAAGCAGGGTCAACTATGCTTCTAAAAAAAGTGTTTTTTTCTTCAAAGTATAGTAATTAATGCTCATTTACTCCCACATGTTTCACAAAATTACAATCTTTACCCCTACATTATTGTTTTTGACAATTATTAGATCACATTAAATGCCATATCATTTTTAATCATTTATCATATTCAAAGTAATTTATATAAAAGTTTACCAAACACTCATACACTTTTTTTTAATATTAAAAACACTATTACAAAAAAAAAAAAAGTTTGTCAATCATTCAACAACTTTATTTTACAGCTATTTATTCTCATAACACAACAGAAACAGTTTTTTTTTTTTTTTTTTTTTTTTAATAAAATAAAACACAACAATACCAAACTAGCCATTAGCAGCCCACTACTACTCACATTTATATTGATTATCGCATGCACATATGTATAAGTGGTAATATATTTTGTCAAGTTTCCACATGGGATTGCATTCTTCAATAGGTATAAACATAACAATTAGTTATCAAACTTGTTATTTGTGAGAATCGAACACAAGAATTGTTACTTACAAATGATAACAAATTAATACTAAATCTTAGTGATACTAAATCATAGTGATGGCGGCAGATGTCAATTATTATGTTATTTTTTAATATTGGGACAAAAGTTTTTAAAAGATACAGGTTCAAAAGTTCCAATATTAAATCAGACCGTAAGTGGTGGCTCATGCATGTCGTAAGTTATGTTGTTGGATGATCATATTATCGTTCACACAATCTAAATATTGTTGCAAATATGCAAATGATCAAGCTTTAAAATCAAGTAATACATGACAAATTAATAAAATCCAAATTTATATATTTTATTCTGGCATAGGCGCGGGCTAGGGGACGACCATCAAACACCCAAAGCTACCAACATTTAATAGAAAAGTAAAACGTACGAGGAAAAAAAGTAGCCAAAACCTCGAAGGAAAAATACAAACAAGGTTGTAAAAACCTATATGAAACGGTAGTTGGGCATGCGTAACCGGTCTCTATGACAAAAAGAAGAAATAAGAGTCGGATGTTAATCTCACCAAGTAAGAACATAGATAAGAATAATATACTTTACAGTCTGACTACAGATGAAAGCCAGAATCATATTTTACAACCAAATTATTCATATAGTACATTCTAATAAACCCTTCATTAACTAATATTCTTAATATAATATGATCAATTGCACTTCATGACAGTCATGAACTTAATTGGACCCATATACAAATAAAGAAGTTAACAATTATTTAATTTACTGGTTTGGCTCTGCTGCTTGAGGTCCAGTAGAATGACCAGCACCGGGACTGTACCCTGGCGTCGTGGGCCGGAAATTGTCAGCAGGAGCACTCTCATAGCCAAGAACCGGTGTCACAAAGTCTGATAATTCACTTTCCAACACGTTTCGGCGCGAGTTGAGATAATTGTCGCCGCTGATTGATGTCGATCCCCCTTTAGTATGATCTGTTTTTAGCGACCTTTCTTCAGTTGAAATGATCCCATAAGAGAAAATTAGAACAAGAAGAAGAACGATGAGCTTGCCATTGGCCATGATAATAAGATTAGTATAGAAAACAACTGATGGAAGAGAGAGAGAGAGGTGTGCTGTGGTTCCAACTGAATGCAATGGAGGATATTTATAGAGTTTGAGCTGGGGAGTTGGAGTAGCGGAGTGAAATACTTGAAAAATGAAATTTGAGCAAATTAAAAGAGGTGCTAAAAATTAATTAAAAATTAAACGGTCAAATGATTACATGTTTCCCTCCTCAAAATTCTCTTAGTTTGCACGTCCCATGCATATCCATTACCATATAGTCTGTTGCCAACTTGCCGCACAGTGCTTTTCAAATGTGTTTTATAGCCTGACTAATTAAGGTTAGCTGTAGGGATTAAAATCTGTCTAATGCTTCAACAAATTAAGGAATAATTTAAATGGTGCCATACAATCCAGACCCACAAGCCGGGCCTGATGAGACGTTTCTGGTATGAATCCAGCATTTGAATTTTGACCTACCAGTAGTGCTTGGGTTGCCTCTTGATTCTAATCTTTCCTTGCTGGAAATTAAAGTTGCGTGCGCAGCTAGAATTTGCTGTAACCATTCATGCATATTCAACTATTTTATGTGGCCAACATAACGAAAAGAACATTTCATATCTCATGTTGTCAATGTGATGCAACATTAAATATGTTTTACCTTTTTTTATTCGTAAATGTATGTTTTTCGAAATAACATATTCATTAAAGATGGACCGAATACATATATGTACGCCTTACATCTTTTAATCTAGTTGAAGGAAAAAATAGTATTACACATGCGCCAAAGAGAAACTAATTTTTGCTATCATCTAGGAAAAGGTCTACAATATATGTCTTAATTCCTACCGGTTATTGCTACTCAGTACTATGATTTGGTGGTATTCCTCTTTACATAGGAGTGAAAGATCTTATGTTCGAATCTCGTGGATGATGACAAATGAATTAAAATCAAATTCATCAGAAAATTTAAAATCAAATCCAACACTAGGGTTTAAGAAAAATAAAAGTCATCTAAATTAAGGATCGCAATTGAATTTTCTATACTATTTGAGTTTGCCAAGTTTTAAAAGTGTGCAGACAAATGGGGAGAAAGTTAAAGGGCCGTTTTGTGCGCTGGTTATCATGAATCATGATAAGTATCAACCTTGGATATTGTGGGGGGATATGGGCTATAACTAAATCTCTTTTTGAATCTTTAATATTCCACGATCGCGTATATATTTAAAACTGCACGCACGTAATGCCATTTTTTTTTTTCAGTTGAACACTGATGCATCTGGCCATGATTCTCTCGCCAACTCCAAGCCCTCCAAGTATCCAATATTATGAGATCAACTTTGTCAAGTTTATCTAAATAAGTACATTAGATTACGTTTATTATCTAGGATTGACTTAGTTTAAATAACTCATTAGGTTTGATGCAAATGAAAATATCAATGCTAATTTACGTATTTTGTTTAACATAAGGTAGGAGATATGGAGAAATTCTAAAAAAAAGTTATCTTTTCTATTCAAGTGAAGGTAGAAGATGTAACTTTATATATGATTCTACTCTCCTCAACTCTCTTATCTTTTTCACTAGGAAACAAAGTGTCGTGACTTTGTTACAACATCAATAGTTATTTTTCAATTATTAACAAATAGATACACGTGTTATATGTAACATGAGAGCATTACTTAGCGAGTGAGTGACAAATAAGAACACATAATTAACATTAATGTCATATATGTGATAGGAGCATATTTAGGCGACTTAGTTGGCTTGTTCTTGTGCATTTACGTTGTTATTTCTTAGTTCTTTAAGTCTTTTAAATCATTTTCGTATGTTTTCAGGTTCTAAGGGCTAAAGGAGCAAAGAAGTGTATTTTGGAGCCTTTTGGAGCACTTTTGGGCTAAGGATGGATAGCTTATGCTTGGAGCCAAAGTATTGGACGAAATTGAAGATCAAGTGAGCCTAGAATCGAAGAAAGAATGAGGAATCAAGAATTGGAAACCAGTTTCCATTATGGAGAGTTTCTATTCTTGAAAGGTTTCCAATTATGCAAGTTTCCAAATAATGTTGGTTGCCTAAATCACATGTTCTAGAAGCCCTAGACATGTCCTAAATTGTGCCGTGAGTTACCTTCCTTTTCTCTCCCAAAATCTGCAAGTTTTGCACTTTCCCTTTCTTTTCCTCCTTGTGCCGCAAGACTTAGCCTTTTTTCCCCTAATTCCTGATTTCAATTACCTATTCTAGAGGGATTTAACTTAATTCCTGATTCTTAGAATTGATTTGGGGAATTAAACACTTACTTATTTCCTATGCAAACCCTTAGCCGCATCACCCTTGACCCTTCCTCTTCCTTGACGTGCAAGGGAGATAGTTTCTTTCCTATTTCCTTGCATTAAAACACATTCCTTTTGTGTTTTATGCATTGCCGCAAGTTTTAGGTAGGTTCCTTTGATTTTCTGATTTGATTTCCTATT